ACTTCATTACCAGAGTAGAGCGAGATGGCTTGTTGCACATTTAATTGCCTGTGAATTCATTTATGAATGAAATCTATCCCTAGCTATAAATCATTTCAGTCAATATCATGCTCAACAAATGAAGTGTCTTGACAGTCAGAAATACAGGTCAATGTCTTTTTTTGGAACATCTTCAGTTGTTTCCTTTAGCAGAATTCCTGTCACCCAAATGGTAAGCACTAAGCATCTTGCATCAGAATCAGACTTGGGTTATACTAAATCTCATATACACAAACTTATTATGAAAACATATTATAGTGCAAAAATATTGTAAGTATGCTGTACAAAATGTCATATAACTTAAATAGCTCTACACAGCATCTCTCTTCACACAAATACACATAAACAATTAGTACAATTTATTTTGAAAAATGAATCAAAGGCAATTCATCAGTTTTTGACACATGACTCTTCAAATCAATACTAGTATTACTTAGACCACGTGTATTACGAATGCAAAATTTGACACTGAAATTGTTTTCCTGAAAGCAGATTTTGACCAAAAATAATAAGGCAATTGTCACAATAATGACCCTCACATTTGCTCCTTGACTAATGATTGAATTTTATTCGAACGAGGAGATATGATCCAGAAACCCGTGTGACGGGTTACAGAGAGACAGGATCAAATCTTAATAAAGCAAGGGCAAAAAATGTTAATTTCAGCAGTTAATTTCAAAAAGTTGCAAAAATGAGATTTTCAGGACAATGAAATATATGGAGATAACGAACAGTATTCAAGCTCAAAAGTCCATTAAACAATACAAAATAGGAGCAGAGCAAACACGGACCTCTAAACATCAGAGGTGGGATCAGGTGCCATGGAAGAGTGAGCATCCCCTGCCGACCGGTCACACCCGCCGTGTGCTCCTTGTCATGATCGGGAAATAACGGAAAAATCCGTCGACAATTCAGTGTGTAAATAATGGCCTAACAATTAACAATATGTCTTCACAATGTTAAGGTTTTGTGATATCGTTCCTCTACACAAACCTTTGACAAATCGCTATTTAAAAGTCGGGCTACAAAGCCACTATTTCATTTGTTCCTTGTCCAGGGCTGGGAACCAATCAGAAAACATTCTTTATAGAAGGTAAGTTTTGTAAACAAATATGACTTGTCTTTAAAATGGAAAGTGCCAATATTGTAAGGTATGTGACTAGTTACTCCAAATAAAATATTGGAGATTAATTTTTGGAAGCTCTTTCTCCTTACAATCACAAAAACAAATTATTAAGGCTTTGAGCCACATGAAACCGACGGATTTGTAACAGATAACATTGGGTGGTTTAAAATTTACCATTACGTCATGTGTAACCACAATTATCACAAAACCTTGACATTGTGAAGATGAGGACAATAAAGTCTCACTAGGTATCACATCTCGGAGAGTTCAGATTTATTGATTTCAAGCTCTTCTTTACTTGAGTACACGTATGTCATAAAGTGCACCAACGTAGGGCTCGTACCAATGTCCGATTTTTTTCTTTCAACACTGTTCAAGAAATGAAGTAATAAAATATTTTTGAAAACCACATCCCTACGGGGATCCTGATAATATATGATTTGTCAATTTCCAACTCATTAACACATCCTCTCCAAGGAACGAAGGCGTCAAAGGTAAGTGAACTAGTTAGAGTTGAGATCATAGGAAGACTTGAAAACTAAATGTTTGATTTTATTTTTACTCGAGACTAATACCTGTCTCTAATACTGGAATACTTGTATCCATTACCTGGAATCGCAACTGAATAATCTTAACTTTATGTTTGATAAGTAAAGTAAATATGTTTTTTTCTAACCGTCTTTACATTTTTTTTATTAATTTAAACTTAATCTCTGTAATGTATAAAGCAAACTTTACTCATCCTGGGGTACTAAACCATGAATGGTGTTGCAACAACTGGTAAATAAGCTTTTATTTTGTATGTTGACTTTTCAAGAAACCGTTTGTTTAGAAACCTTATACATGTAATAGTTATAGTATTTCAGAAACATTTGATTTTTTCTTTCACTTATGACCTGAGTTTTAGTACCGGAAACTTTCACTTCTTTGTTCCTTTAATAGCAATAAGATGAACATTATTACCCCCTAGAGTTGTGGTTTCATATATAAAGATTGATTTATTGTATTATGTTTTACGTCCTATTCGAGGATTTTTCACTCATATAGAGATGTTTCCATGTACCGGTGAAGGGCTTCAAATTTAGACCTATACTTGGCACTCAGGGCCAGTGTGCTATGAGGGTTCTTTATTGTGCCAACACGTGCTGTGACACAGGACCTCGGTTTTTAAGGTCTCATCCGAAAGTATCCGTGACTTTCACTTCTAATGCCGGGCGCTTGGGGAAGGAAAAGTCAGTTACCTTTTTTACGTCTTAGTTTGACGCGGCGAGGCGAACGGGAATCGGACTGAGTCTCCCGATCACGAAGCGAACGCCCTACCACTAGATCACCGAGAGGATGAGGACAAAAACTGTGATCATTCTCATAATAATCCGTTAAACAATATAAATTCAAAATCATGGCAAAAACACCAGGAAAAAATTACCCCTGGAAACGTACGTGGTAGGATCAGGTGCTATGGAGAAATAATTATCCCCAGTTGAACGGTCACATTCGCTTTGGGCCCTCTGTATTGATCGGGTAAACCGAGGAATGCGTGGTCGAAATTAGATTAAAAAACAAATGATCTTATACTTAAGTCAAAATTCGATCAATTGATAGGCTGTATTGGCAAACAATGATTATGAAATTTGCGAAAAGTAGACTTGAAACAAGACTGTTGAAACCCTTGTAAATTCTAGTAGTCTGTCTCGGTTTAAAAATTGACTGTACAAAGAACATATTTTTGAAAACTGAATCAGTTAGGAGACATGAACACCATATGCAGGTGAACGGAATGTCACCACATAGCAAGTTGACGATGGATAAGCTGAATAATCCCGTTTGTCAGTGTTTAGTTGCTAGTTTGCCAATAACCTCAGTAAAATATCCAAATATGACTATGGCAGATTTTGTGGTGTCTTTTATTTCGAGTTCACTGGGGTAAATCAAGTTCAAATATAAATGATAATGAATATTGTTCATGGTCGTAGGAACCGGGGGCACGGGGGGGGGAGGGGCATAGTGTCCCCGAATAATTTTGTCCCCCTAACTGAAAATGTATGGCTCTGCCCCCCCCCCCCCATCTGACATTGCTTCCTAGGGGCCTGTTGTTTATCGATAAAACGCCGACGATATATGCAAATGTCGAATTGAAAGCCACAGCAAGCGTTTTCTTATCATGTAGAAATGATTTTTCTAAGTTTATGCTTCATTAGAATACAAAAACAGGTCTTTTGATAAAGGAGTCAATGAGAATTTTTGTACTTCTTAGGATTTTATAACATTCTAGAGAGTGGGTCTTTCTTTGCTAAAACTTTAATCAGAAGGAAAACAGTTCTTGAATCTACAAACTAATCCTTGTAGGACTACAAGATTGCCAATCACCAAGATCTCACTATATATCGAATTAAGACACTACGTTAAGTCATCTATCAAGTTGAAAAGTTTGAATTTACTAGTTGAAGTAAATGCAAAATTTACAATATGATAACTTGCACCTAGTAGATTCAAAAGGAAAGGGATGAACAAGGCGTGCAGAATGCGTATAGTTTCAGATATGTAAAAATCATATTCAGTTTGTGAATTGGGCATTTAGAGTAAAGTTCTCTTTATTGAAATTTATGAAATTAAAATAAACAAAACTTATCTGAGGAAAATTTTCCCGGCAAAGTTATTCTGTGATTTAAAAAATTATGTGGTATTCGTGGGGTTCGAACCCTACCAATAAAAATCCTGAGTAACATTTTCCTCTGAGACTAACTCTCTAACCACTACGCTACACAGCTCCTTGTGAATAGTGGCATTTAATCAAGTTTGTGATATGACCATTGACTAAATGGACTTCAAGTATTACTCGAAAGATGATAATGTTGTGTCATAAAAGTGTATTTCTAAGATATAGTGGGTCTTTGTTCCGTGTTTTTGTTAACGAAGAAATGTATTTTTTTACGCAAACTTTGAGGATAAACTTAAAAAAAAATGGAGCGCAGACCCACTCATATCGAAAAATTGTGTTATAGTATGACAAAATGATCCTTTTTGCCCAAATTAGTGTGTGTGTGCTATTTCATAGGCAAATAGTTTCAATCTTTGTGAGTTTTTTTGCAAATTGTGGAGATTTTACATAAACTATACTTTAATGTTTGATGAAATAATTGATATAATTGAGGTCTGATTTTTCACCTTTATGTTTGTCGCACTATTGGCACTTCGCTCGCCTTGTTCGCCCATTTTCTTTACAACATGCATGATAATTCCATAACAAAATAACAATTTATTCCTATAATTGTGTGCATGATGTGTTCAAACAAAAGATGCATGTATTGTTATCGAAGAAATGCAATTTAAATAAATTTTTATTTTTATTTTTGAGTATAGTCAGGGCAATGACACACATAAGAAATCTTCCTTTTCGCAATGTTACATATATGTCAACAGTGAAAGAACTGGATTGATGAAAAATGTTCTATGATAGTAATGCGTCAAAGAAAGATATCATAATCTGATTATGTGATTTGTGTAAATATTAAATGACATCTGTTCACGGTATTTTACTGTGCTGAACTATCCCCTTCTTTTTCAAGGTAAATCAATCGAATTTAGGATAAACACATGGGACTCATCGTAAAATAAGTTGTTAAGATTACATATTTCTTTGGATTTAAACAAATAAAACGATGGTTACTTTGTTCAATTTTTGGTTCAAAGAAACTCAACCAAGTCTTCTCCCGCAAAGCTAGAATGATCACTTTATAGCAAACCTGCATCATGTATCCCATCACTTTATTCGCCATTTTAATACAGCTTTTTCTATCTAATGGTCAGTTATGCGAGCCGCGAAACTGCATTGTAAATGAATGGACTGTATGGTCAGACTGTTCCAATACCTGTGGAAATCTTGGGACGAAAACAAGACAAAGGTTGATATTGCAAAAAGCCTCTTGTGGGGGAAATTGTGACTTAAATACTAAAGAAACTGCAGCATGTAATAGAAAATGTTGTCCACAGGACTGTGTGTACAGTGACTGGACACCTTGGGAATTCCTATACTTTTCTTTTAATTGTACTGAAGGAGGAGAGAGGTATATGTTTCACAGGAGCCGGATAGTAGTGACTGACAGCGCATGTGGTGGTGTGTCCTGTACAAACAGCTTAAAAGAGATAAAATGTGGACATCTGAAATGTTACAGGGAATGTGTGCTGGGCACATGGTCCTTTTGGAGTATTTGTAAAGGTCCGTGTGAGCAAAAGGGAGTACGGAAAAGGACCAAGATAATCAAACAGCAGCCAAGCTGTGGGGCGAATCCATGCCCTTTCCATGAGGAAGAGGAGGAATGTATCGCGGGCTGTTGTCCGGTAGACTGTCAGCTCGGGGAGTGGAGTGTGTGGTCAGAATGCAATACAACATGTGGAGTGGCCAACAGAACACGAGCAAGATTTGTCCAGCCGATGGAGTGTAATGGAATGAAGTGTGTTGAGGATCCTGTATCTGAAGTACAGGAGGAATGTGAGCGCTATATCAATGTGGATTGTGTGGTATGTCGATTCCGACACAAAATGTCTATATTTCATAGCTAATTTCAATTGCTGTACCATATCCTGATTTAGATTTTAATCGTCATCAGATTTTTAGTAGTCAAACTATCTTAGTAAAATTTTGAAAACTTATACATAACTAAGTACACTGTGTTTTAAAGAAATAGTTCTTGTTGACATATCTAAGATTGATTGATTGTATATTGTTTTACGTCCCATTCGAGAATTTTTCACTCATATAGAGATGTCACAATATACCGGTGAAGGGCTTCAAATTTTGACCTTTACTCGGCACTCAGGGCCATGAGCAGTGAGGGATCCTTTTCGTGCCAACGCATGCCGTGACACGGGGCCTCGGTTTTTAAGGTTTCATCTGAAGGATCCGCAACTTTCACTTCACAGTGCCGAGCGCATGGCGAAGGAACAGTCGCTACCCATTTTCTATCGACTTAGGTCAGTCTCGGCCGAGATTCGAACTCGAGACCTACCGATCACGGAGCGAGAGCTCTACCGACTGAGCTACCGTGAACGGTGACATATCTAGAAAGTATAGTGAACTCATTAAAAAAAGATTCATAGTGACGCTCTGAGAGTGCAAACCTCTGCTAAATTTAATAAAAAAAAAAAGTCTCCGAGTTCGACCCCTGTGATCGGCAGTGGTTGTATGTAATAGAGCAAGGTAGTCGCCCGCTCGTACACGTAGTTTTTTCCCGGTACTCCAGTTTTCTCCCACAGAAATGACCTTCTCGCGCCAATATTCGTGTAATAAAGGACCCCGTTGGACATAAGCTTTTTAGCTTTCATGGGCTATCCTTGGTATTGTATTACACTGTATGTATTTAAGTATGTACCGAAATATATGGAGATAACGAACAGTGTTCTTGAAAGCTCAACAGTCTATTTAAACAATACAAATCAGGAGCAGAGCAAACACGGTCCTCTAAAAATCATCAGAGGTGGGATCAGATGCCATGGAGGAGTAAGCATCCCCTGTCGACCGGTCACACCCGCCGTGTGCTCATTGTTATGATGGGGCAAACGGGAAAATCGTAGACAATTTAGTGTGTAAATAATGGCCTAACAATTAGTATGAAAAGCTCAGTCAGCATTTGACTTAAGATAGATTGTATTTGCTGACAAGGTCATTGTATCGACCATAGAATTTACGAAATGATGATAAACATTTATTCATTTTATTTATTGAAAATCGTTCATATCATTCTGATATACCTTGAAGATGGATGCTGGTAGTTATGAATAAAAAAAAATCATGCATCCACATCTTTCATTTGAATTCAATGAAGTACCGGTATGTATCGTTCGTGAAAGTTTTGCCTCAGGGTTGACAAAAGTAATGGCAGAGAAAGCTAACTCTTCTTTAAACTTTGATTTTCAAAATAAATTTGCGCTCTTTCAGTGTCATGATAATTTTATTTCCACTACTGCAGCTCTGTTAAATGTTCGTTTAACTGTTTAACATATTGTTACCCTGCCTTGATCCCTTTTCTCCTTTCAATACATATGTACAATATCCTTCAATACCACAGGCACCTGAAGCAATAACGAACATCTCTGCCCCCCCCCCCCTTTACCATCACCACCACTTAAACACCAAAATATATTAGATGACTAAATATTTTCTCGAAAATATGTGTTTTCCCATTCAGTTCCATCTTTATGTCATTCTATGCACTGAATCGGTTTGTGCTTTTTCAGTTTTACAATTTGACGCCATGAGTCCTAGGTATTGATCAAGTATAGACGGAATAATCCTTAGTCAAATTTAGTATAAAAACAATGACCTTAAGATCAATTGATAGGTTGTATTTGCTAACTATGTCATTATTTACGAAATGTTGACTTTAAACGAGATTTTTAAACCTATAACATCAAATTATTTATCAGTAGCCTTCCTCAGTTAATCGTATACAGAGAATGCTTCTGAGCAAATAAGTTGGGAGACATAAACACCATGTAGTGGAATATTACTATATAATAAAGGAAAGTTTCACAATGGAAATGCTGACGACATCTCTAACAGCGTAGAATTAATGAAACAGTACTGCCGTTAAAACGCATTTTATAAACGTATGTACACAAAATTACAAACATTCCAAGCTCGATCACAATACATCAAACAATTTGTCATACAGTTTTGTTGTTAGTTTGCCATCCAAATATGAAACAGATGTGAATTAAAAAAAACTCTGTGGTGTCTGTTATTTCGAGTACACTGGGATTTTTCAAGTCGATATATAAATAGAAATAACTATTGATAAATGATAAAAGATCGATATATCTGAAGGTCGAGTTGAAGGTCACAGCACGTGTTTTCTTCTTATGTAGAAGTTTTTTGAATAAATTCTTCTTTAGGAGTATTAAAACAGGTCGTCTAAGAAAGGAGCACAACATTTTAGTTAGTGCCCTTCGGAATTCCAGCAGATTGTCGGAAGATGACTTGGCATGCTCCGAGTACGATCAATTTTTAAGCCAAAGAAGCCTTACGACTAAGACCAAAATTTAATTCTGCTCATAACTCTCTATTTTACATTAAATTAAAAATGGTGTTAATATTTTTAAAATGAATGTAGTAAGATATTTTTACGCTAAAAATTTCAAACAGAATCAAAAATTTTGCAAAATTTTATAATCAACGAAAGTTTTTCGTCTTAGTCGTAATTTCTTTTGTAATTAAGGCCCCTGATCTCCAAAGACTGCATAAATGCTACATCAATGAGGAGCTCCAGCATATCCTTTTAACAATTGGTATGAAACAAGTCAGCCAAAATACGACCCAATGATAGATAATATTTGCCAAAGGTCATTATAACGACTACAGAATTTACGAAATGCTGACTTTAAACAAGTTTATTGAAATCCCTGTAACATCTGATCAACTTATCCGTCAGTAGCCTTCTTTGGTTTAAAAATTGATCGTACTCGGAGCAGGCTCTTGGGCATCGAATAATTTGAGAGATGTGAACACCATATGCAGGTGATCCTGTGGGATATTAGTACATAAATAAGGAAAGATGACGATGAAAAGCTGAAGTCATCTCGTTTGTCATACAGTTTAGTTGTTAGTTGGCCCTTACATCTATAGTCAGTAAAACATCGGATCCAAATATGGAACAAATGTGACAGACTCTCTGGTGTCTTTAATTCTAAGTTCCCTGGGATATATCGAGTCGACATATGAATGGTTAATTGATAATACGTCCTTGATATATCTAAATGTCGAGTTGAAGGCCACAACAAGTGTTTTCTTCTTCTCATGAAGTTTTTTTTAATAAATTCTGCTTCATAGAAATATAAAAACGGGTTGATTAATAAGAGCGCAATTAGGGTCCATTGAAATTTCAACAGTTTTTTTTTTTTTTGGAAGACCTGGTCTTCGAAGGCTACAATGTAGTCAATGAGGGACTCCAGCATTATAATGTCAACTTCAGAGTACTTGTGTGTAGAATCAGAGTGATTTTTAACAAAGTAGGTAGTTTTGTTGATGACCAATCACAAGATCACAAAATTTCCGAGTTCCATTTTTATTGAAGAAGCAGTTGTCTAATATACATCAAAAAGCTCAATTTTTAATTTATCGTGAGGAATGGTTGTATAAAGTGTCATCATAGAAAAGTTATAATTATACTGACTTTTAGACTTTGAGACAGAATTGTGATTCAAACTTTCTAGAAGTTCTTTGGAGTTTTTAAGAATCCATAATTATTTATTTACACCACTTCTCGAATATGCTGTATCACAGTATATCTGAAGTTTCTCCTGAACAGTCTCTGGTAGATCAATTACTGAACACCGTAATCAGGGACCTAATATACTATATAAGTCCCTGCCGTAATGTATCTTTGTAGGGATTTTTATGAAGTTTAGGAATCCGGTAAAGGTAGGGTAGATGAATTTTAATCTAATCATAGCCCGTAAAAAAACCTGCTTGGTATCTACAAACGTATGCCTAACAGATTTTTAAAATAGGATCAAAAATGCTAATATTCCGGAAACACAAGGTTTATCTAAGCTTCGTTCTATCGGTTTTGGCATTTAGTTTATGAAAAGCGGGAAATGTCAACGTCATCATCAGAAGACAAGTGGAGAAACTAGATCTACTGTGATCCTTCTTCTCTGTCAGTATGCCTAAATTTTCAGCAAGACTCTTATTTTTAGGTACATATGTGACACATTAGTATAAGTGAGCTTTTCTGATCAAAATTTGTCCGTTGTCAGGTTTTCTGTCGTCGTTGTCGTCGGCGTTAACTTTTCACAATTTCATGGAATTCAAGTTTCTGCACATGAAGTAGCTGCAGAACTGTAGCTCTCTGCTTGAGAAAATTCGGACAGATAAAGCAGAGAGCTACAGATCCAAGCGGTATAAATACCTTCGATTTACGCCGCCGCTTTTTTGTCGCTCGCTTCGGGTATTATTTCTTGTATTTAATGATTTCCCCTGCTTTAAAAGTGGTATCCAATAATTATCCATATATTTTACTCCTATTCCTGATACTCTACACATGAAGGGCCATGCCTTCTTTCAGGGGGAGATAATTAAGAATTAGTGAAAATTTAATGGCATCTTTTAAAATCTCCAAAACCACCAGAAAAAATGAAACTTATCAAGTTATGTGAAAGCTATACATATCATAGTGTAGATTAAAATTTGTTCATATCATAACCCCCAGGCATAGGGCGGGGCCACGACAGATCTAAGTTATACACATGAATATATAGCAGCTAGGGTTCGACACTCGTCAAAATTTGGACTCGCCATTTGGGCAACCTTGGTACTGATTTCAGGTTGCCCGAATGAATTTCAGGTCTCCCAAACAATATCAAATGAAACAAAAATGTGCAATTGTTTAAAATTTGTTAAGATAACAGAAGTTGTGCCTTTGTATCATAAAATGCAAACCAGACATTTTTGGAATGCCAAAAGCTGTCTTCCAGTATTTTATCAAACAAAGATAACAGCCAACAAATATTATAAAGCAGAATCAGAATGTTAATTAGGCTTTAAAAAATTATGTTTGTTTTATGTAATATTCCCAATAAATCAAGGGTTGGTAGGTCAGGATTTTTTTTTTTTTTTTTTTTTTTTGCTAATGTACAATCTTACCTCACATACTGACACAAAATAAACTTTCTAGTTTAAAACATTCATTTTCACTTACCATAAAGGCCTACATAAAGAGGGTCAAACATCCCTGGACTGAATTAACCAGGGATGATGTTTACAGTGGACACCCAACATGGCTGTCTAGCAGCAGAAAACGAACATCAGAAAGTTGTGGGGGGAAATGCTAGATGTTACAATAATGTTCATTACTCTATATGGTGATTGTTGACTAGGTTTACATATTTTATATCTCAAATAAAACTTAATTTAACACTTTTGGTAAAAATTACATCAGCTGATTGATCAAACACAGATTTGGCAGAAAGAAAAATCCACGCGGCTGGTATTTGAATGGGTCGGTCGGGTTACAGGAAATAATGTTTTCAAGGCCTTTTAAAGTATATTTTAAAATATTAAACAACATTATTGAATATTCCCAACTCATCCCAGGTCGTCATTTGGGCGAGCCAGACTGAAAATCAGGTTGTCCAAAATCATTCCGGGATGGAAATGACAAGATGACGAGCGTGAATGTCGAACCCTGTAAAGGAAATATCTTTAAAATTTCTATTTTATGTCCTGCAGAGCCAGAATTGGTCATATTAATATAGAAGCATCCTTAGGTAGTGAAGATTCAAGTTTGTCAAATCATGACCCCAGGGGGTAAGGTGGGACAACAATAGGGGTTCAAAGTTATACACAGGAATATATAGGTAATATCTTTAAAAATTTTCTTTTCATGATCAGCAAAGCTGGGGTAATTCATATTTATAAAGAAGCATTCTCAGGTACTGTAGATTCAAATTGTTCGAATCATGGTCCTTGAGGGATAGGGTGTGGCCACAACAGGGGATCAAAATAATACATAGAAAGATGTAGACAAAATCTCCTCCTCAAGAACAGCAAAGCCAAGATTAGGTAATATTTATAAATTGAAAGCTTCCTCCTGTAGTGTATATTCAAGTTTATTCAAATCATGACCCCCATAGGTATAGGGCGGGGCCACAATGGATGGTCAAAGTTTTATTAGGAATATGTAGGAAAATCTCCTCAAGAATAGCATAGCCATGATTAGTTATATTGATTTGGAAGCATCCTCAGTTAGTATAAATTCAAGCTTGTTAATATTATGACCCCCATCGATAAGACTGGAGCACAATAGGAGATCAAACTTTTACACAGGAATACATAGGGAAAAAATCTGTAAAAGTCTTTTAAAGCTGTGATTAGTCATATAGATATATATGGAAGCATCTTCAGTTAGTGTAAATTCAAGTTTGTTCAAATCATGCACCCTTCCTGCAAGGAGAGGGGTGTTGTAGGGGGGATTCAAAATTGAAGTGATTTCTGCTTAGTCCTCAGGTGAGCCCATGGGTCTCTTGTTTTAGTTCAAGTTCACAGGAAAGCATGTGAGGTAAAATGTAGAAATAATTATTTTCTAAGACAGTGTGCTCATGTAATGTGTAGACCTAAAACTGTTAAAATATTTCCCACATACCTGATATAGTTTCACTGTGTAGTGAAATGGAATGGATCTGTACTCTGGCACGATTATGGAGAATACAAATAAAGTTGCATTGAACTGATTGAAAATTACCAACAAATTCAACATTATTTTTGTCAACATTCTTTTCTCAATTAAAAATATCCACCATTTTGACATTCAGAATTCTGTGAATGTGTCATTGTTTGTAAGATACACATGGATTCCCTGTCCATGTTTATTTGTTACAATTGCCAACACACAGAAAAAAGTCTATTGTTAAACTAGGTTCAAAGGGCAAAAATCATTCAAAGGCTGAGAAAATAAGCATAACCTTAAGATTTACCCCTGTCAATCTTGTAAATTATGGTCCAAGATTATTGACACTAGAAATTGATTGACATTTAATTACCAGCACACATAGCTATTATTCAAGTAACTCGTTTTTGGATACTTATTTACTACTTTATTTAAGAAACTGCAAGAGCACCACAATATTGGAGTGTTGAAACATGTGGTTGAAGAATTGAAAATAAATACCTGTTACTAAAATTCTCTGAGTATCTGTCTTTTTAGCTCACCTGAGCCGAAGGCTCAAGTGAGCTTTTCTGATCACATTTTGTCTGTAGTCCGTCTGTCCGTCTGTCTGTCCGTCTGTAAACTTTTCACATTTTCGACTTCTTCTCAAGAACCACTGGGCCAATTTCAACCAAACTTGCCACAAAGTATCCTTGGGTAAAGGGGATTCAAGTTTGTTCAAATGAAGGGCCACACCCTCGTTCAAGGGGAGATAATGAAGAATTAGTGAAAAATTAGTAGCATCTTTTAAAAATCTTCTTCTCAAGAACCACAAAGCCAGGGAAGATGAAACTCATGTGGAAGCATCCTCAGGTAGTGTAGATTCAAGTTTGTTCAAATCATGACCCCCGGGGGTAGGGCGGGGCCACAGTGGAGGATCAAAGTTTTACATAGAAATATATAGGAAAAACCTTTAAAAATTTTCTTCTCAAGAACAGCAAAGCCATGATGAGTCATATTTATATGGAAGCATCCTCAGGTAGTGTAGATTCAAGTTTGTTCAAATCATGACCCCCGGGGGTAGGGCGGGGCCACAATGGAGGATCAAAGTTTTACAAAGAAATATATAGGAAAAATCTTTAAAAATCTTCTTCTCAATAACAGCAAAGCCCTAATTGGTCATATTTATATGAAAGCATCCTCAGGTAGTGTAGATTCAAGTTTGTCCAAATCATGACCCCTGGGGGTAGGGCGGGGCCACAAACCAGGATCAAAGTTTTACATAGAAATATATAGGAAAAATCTTTAGAAATCTTCTTCTCAGGAACAGCAAAGCCCTGATTGATCATTATATGTGGAAGTATCCTTAGGTAGTGTAGATTCAAGTTTGTTCAAATCATGACCCACTGGAGTAGGGTGGGGCCACAATGGAGGATAAAAGTCTGAAATAGAAATATATAGGAAGATATGTTCTGATGAAGAACTACAAAGCCATGATTAGTCATTTTGATATGGAAGCATCCTCAGGTAGTGTAGATTCAAGTTTGTTAAAATGATGACCCCAGGGGATAGGGATGGGCCATAATAGGGGATCGAAGAAAATTTTACATAGGAACATATAGGAAAATATCTTCTTCTCAAGAACTGAAAATCATGTTTAGTCATTTTGATATGGAAGCATCCTCAGGTAGTGTAAATTCAATTTTGTTCAAATGATGACCCCTGAGGGTAGGGTGGGGCCCAATAAGGGGATCAAAAGTTTTACAATTTGCAAAAAAAAATTTCCAAACGTTCATTAGGAATGTTAGATAAATAAGTTTGATTTGACTGCATTTAGGATACCAGTTTTTACAACAAAGGGACTTTTTGTCTATAAATGATTTGAAAAAGAAACATTCATGCTTGCTTTGTTCAATGATGTACAATTTCAGGTTGATTTAGACAATATAGTAGCATTGCAAAACATCAAACTAGGGAAACATAAAGGATTACACCTTTACCTCTGAAATTCCACTTAATTTAGTCTTGAAATTACACCCTCGCAATGAAAAGGGTAGGCAGGTCTGTAAATATCATGCTTGTGATTTTATCTACGTAAGTCATGTCAAGGTTCATTGGCAAACTACATGTACCATAGAAGTTTGTTAGCTGCAGTTCCAATTTTACTGATCCACTTTAGGTTGACCCATGGTCTGCATGGAGTGACTGCATTTTGCATAATGGTTTATGTGGTGAGGGGACCAGGAATAGGAGTAGGACTATTGCTGTTGAACCAAAATGTCAGGGGGACACCTGTCCTGTGTTGGAAGAGTCGAGGATCTGCTATGGTCCATGCTGTCAACAAGACTGTGAAATTTCTGAATGGAAATCCTGGTCATACTGCTCAACATCATGTGGTCAAGGCATCAGGTAAACATGGCAAAAATAACAATAATATGTGGTTAAGGCATTAGGTAAACATTTACAAACTGCAAGAACATCATTTAGTCAAGTTGTCAGATAAACATCTACAAATTGAAAATGTAGCCAATAACACAATAACATCTGACATTTAGTCAAGGCTTCAGGCAGATACAGAATAAGATCATGTGGTCAAGGCATCTGGTAGAAACATAATAAGATTATTTGATCAAGGCAAAATGTAGACACTCGAAAAGATCATGTGATAGTAACAAAATAACACTATGTGGTCAAGGATTCAGGTAAACAAAAAATCTGAGTACAGACAATAACACGATAAGGCCAAATGAAAAAATTTGTGTGGTTCCGGTTACCCGACTGTCCCTATTTTATATTCCCGACCCTAAACTATTTTTTGGCAATTTTCATATTTTTTCCGGAATTTTCCCAGATTTCTATCAATGGCTCCGGTTTAAGTTTTAGTTTCAGCAATGACAGCCTCCTTGCAAAACATAGTGCAAGTGTTTAATAGTGTTAAATCCAAAGCAAGCTAGCATGTAGGTGTCCCCTACCAATATTGACTAGTATATTATCATACCACATCTAAATGCCACTTGCAAAGGAGTGATAGGTATTATTTAGAAAAATTAAGAAAATCATTTTGTTAAAAAAAAAAAAAGACCCTACCTACCTATCCTAATTTTTTTGGAGGTGTAACCGGAACCACACACATTTTTTTGTTTGGCCCAACTGTGCACCGAGAAAACACAGACAATAGCATGCTTTGGGCAGAACACTCCAAAAAGATCATATGACAAAGGCATCAGGCAGATACAGTAGGATCATTACAGCAGACACATTACAGTAACACCATGTGATCAAAGCATCAGAAAGACACTCGAAAAGATCATGCATGTGATAAAGGACTCGGAGATACACTAATACTGTGTGATGAAGGCAGACACATTCTCACAGTAACATTAAGAAATCAAGGCATTACGTAAACATGTACAAACTGCAAAAACATTTGATTAAGGCATCTGGCATACACTGACACACATCAAGTGATCAAGGCATCTGGCATACACTAAGACACAACATCATGGAATCAAGGCATCTGGCATACATTGACACACAACATCATGGGATCAAGGCATCTGGCATACACTGACACACAACATCATGGAATCAAGGCATCTGGCATACACTGACACACAACATCATGGGATCAAGGCATCTGGCGTACACTGACACACAACGTCATGGGATCAAGGCATCTGGCATAAACTGACACACAACATCATGGGATCAAGGCATCTGGCATACACTGACACACAGCATCATGGGATCAAGGCATCTGGCATACACTGACACACAATATCATGGAATCAAGGCATCTGGCATACACTGACACACAACATCATGGGATCAAGGCAACTGGCATACACTGACATACAGCATCATGGGATCAAGGCATCTGGCATACACTGACACACAACATCATGGAATCAAGGCATCTGGCATACACTGACACACATCATGGGATTAAGGCATCTGGCATACACTGACACACAACATCATGTGATTAAGGCATCTGGCATACACTAAGACACAACATCAAGGAATCAAGGCATCTGGCATACACTGTCAAACAACATCATGTGATTAAGGCATCTGGCATACACTGACACACAACATCATGGGATCAAGGTATTTGGCATACACTGACAGACAACATCATGGGATCCAGGCATCTGGCATACACTAAGACACAACATCATGGGCTCAAGGCATCTGGCATACACTGACACACAACATCATGGGATCAAGGCATCTGGCATACAGTGACACACAACATCATGGGGTCAAGGCATCTCGCATACAATGACACACATCATGGGATCCAGGCATCTGGCATACACTGACACACAACATCATGGGATCCAGGCATCTGGCATGCACTGACACACAACATCATGGGATCAAGGCATCTGGCATGCACTGACACACAACATCATGGGATCAAGGTATTTGGCATACACTGACACACAACATCATGGATCCAGGCATCTGGCATACACTAAGACACAACATCATGGGCTCAAGGCATCTGGCATACACTGACACACAGCATCATGGGCTCAAGGCATCTGGCATACACTGACACACAACATCATGGGATCAAGGCATCAGGAAGACACACACAATAAGATCATGTGATCGAAACAGTTGGCATATAATAACATCATGTGATCAAAGCATGAGGCATACATATAATATCATGCACTGTTCAAAGGGCTTTTATTTCATATCTGAATTTCTTCAAAATTAAATGCTAATATATTCTTGATACATATATGATTATAATGATTTTTTATTAGCCGGAGAAACAGTCATAATAAGGGGATAAAACTATGGTCCTTGATATAAAATTTCCACTAATTAGATAGCAGGTCTCGTGGTACTGTGGCATCATAGGTGTCAATTCTTGAATTGCTGATTGTAAAAATAAAAAGATCAAATTGACTTTATAGTAAAATAAATCAACTCTACAGTCATCTTCACTAGCCAAGGGTCTCCAAACTGAAATTATTCTACAACGTTTTAAGAAGACTTAGGATTTCAAATGCTTGTCTAGCCTAAGGGAAAATGCCGTACATTATTTCCTATCTAGCTTGTAACAAAAGATCTGAATGGTTTGTAAGCCGTTATGTAAATTTCTGTAAACCTGACTTGAGCTGGGATAAAAAAAACATGATGTCACAATGCACAGTTTCTCTATCACAAAACACAAATATGACGCCATGATGCATTGTAGCATGTAGTAAATATTATCGATAGATTGAAACACATTGATCGGACTCGGGTCAACAAAAAATTTATTTTGTTACATAGGATCCAGGTTCAATCAAGGTGTACAGGGATTTTATATTTAGCATATTTATTTTATATAATAAACCCAAAATGTTAAGTAAATAAAGAAAAACGTAAGTCAAAATTTTTTTTGGCGATATTTCTTCATACTTATCGATATGCATATCGTCCTCACAGAGAATCGATATTATCAATATCTTGACATATCGTCCCAGCCCTATTTACAACTTGGTACATGTCTGTATGGAACCATTTGTTATCTTTAATGTTTGTAATGTTTAAGATATGAGTAATTTTAGTTCTGTTCAGTATTTACTGTAAATTGATAATCAGTTAAATTTTATGTTCCAATAGTGAGTATCTTCAATGGTGCTAAATGCCATTATGAATTTTATACGTGATACTCTGGATTATATGCGACTTCTTAATGATGTTGGTAAATTTCTTACAAAATGCCATTTCATCAAAAATATTTCATACGCACATGTACCAAAAAGTTCATGGTCGGAGCACAAATGATGGTTCTGAATGGAGACAAAGCCTTTGCATTTGCCAGAGTGGTCCCCTTTTTCTCCTGCTGGAGTCCTTATTGAGTGTTTTTAAAACTCTTATTAAATCCTCTCTAAGCAAGTTTGTGAATCCAGATGCCACAAATCCATACCAACTCTCAATAATCCAGTTACCACCATACCAACTCTCAATAATCCAGTTATCACCATGCCAACTTTAAATAGTCCAGTTATCACCATACCAACTCTCAATAATCCAGTAACCACCATACCAACTCTCAATAATCCTGTTATCACCATACCAACTCTCAATTCCATATATTACCATACCAATTTTCAATATTCCAGTTATCACCAGACAATCTCTCAATAATCCAGTTATCAACTCTTATAATCCAGTTATCCCCATAATAACTTTTTAATCCAGTTATCCCCATACCAACTTTCAATAATCCAGTTATCACCATACCAACTCTCAATAATCCAGTTATCAACTCCCAATAATCCAGTTATCAACTCCCAATAATCCAGTCATCACCATACCAACTCGAAATAATCCGGTTATCCCCATACCAACTCTTAATAATCCAGTTATCCCCATACCAACTTTCAATTATCCAGTTACTTGTATCACCATACCAACTCCCCAATAATCCAGTTATCACCATACCAACTTTCCAAAATCCAGTTATCAACCCTCAATAACCCAGTTACCAGCTCTCAATAACCCTGTTATCAACTCTTAATAATCCAGTTATCACTATACCAACTCTCAATAATCCAGTTATCACCAAACCAACTTTCAATAATTCAGTTATCAACTTTCAATAAACCAGTTATCACCATACTAACTCTTAATAATCCAGTTATCACCATACCAACTCCCAATAATCCAGTTATCACCGTACCAACTTTTAGTAATCCAGTAAAAGGTGATTAAGACATTAAAGACCAGAATGGTTTTCACTTCAAAACAAGATAAATTCTTATGCTGTATTATTTTTGAAGTGATATTAGTTGAGGTGTGTGATTATTAATTAAGGGTCTGAGAAGCATATAACCCCAATGGTCTTAGTAGTATAGAACCCCAAAATTTTATTTTATATTTACTCCAAAGAACTATACCTAACTGTATAGTGTTAGATGTTCAATGTTCATTTTGTGCCCTTTGCATGCCATGTCAATCACAGCAGAGACTTGTAGAAGCGTTCTTGACAAAGCCTAGTTCTTTTGATGCTGTATTTCTGTGTTCATTACTTCTATAGTATTGAGTAATGAACCGATCATTCACCTAATAAAGCTCATTTTATAATTTTGACAGATTCTCAATATTTGGCTTAATGAGAAATTTGAGTGGGATGGAAAGATGATGAGATAATTGAGAAACGTGTATTCTACAGGATTCCAAATCAGGCTAGAGAAAAACTTGTTAAGATTTACAAAATTGCTTTTTTATTGGACAATGTGTATTTGATGTTTAAATCAATTAAGTAAAAAAAAAGTACGCAAAATGACTTGATAGAGTGAAGAAAATTTATACACTATTTGTTTGAGACAAAATTAGAGACAAGGCTGATTTTAAATAAAGACTTAAATTTTTAGAAGAAAGCTATATTTTGCTATAGGCTTGAAAACAATTAACTTTAACAATACCTTTAGTTATGTTAAATTTCTTTGAAATCCTCTTTACTGATCATGCTGATATTCAAAGCTTTTGTATTTATTTAATGTTAGTTCCCTATTTGTATGATTTCAAGCCATATGATATATTGCCAAAGACAAAAGTTAAGGTTCATTGACCTTCTGATAAGAAAGATAACTCTTACTATGATCAATGACTATTATTCCTTTATTAAATTGTCAAGTTAGAAAAAAAACATTTCTGTCAAATAGTATTATTAATTTATGTAGATTATTTCTTTTGGAAAATCATCAGGATTAAAGCAAAATTTTACTTTCAAGTAAACAGAGAAATATTTTGAATTGGGTCAGTTGATTTAATGAATTATTTTCAAGAGTCTTTAACACAAATGAATACCTTCTCTGCCTCTATATCAATTTGAAGTATCCATGTAAAGCTACAAGAATGCCCACAAATCAATTTGCATATGTTTTTATGGTAATTCCCCAGCTTGTCAATGTTATAATTGAATTGTATGCTTTATCAGAGTTATGGTGATCTGCTTGCACAGGGCCTGTAAATATATGCACATTTCGAAATTTGATTTTTTTGATAGTTGCTGAGATATATACCATTACTACAAATATAAAATCTTAGCTGGCATTTTATTTGAAATAGTAAGGATTTACAAGGAAATGTTCCCACGTCATTTCATTGTGTAATGTACAGGTTATTTTGGACTGCTCACAGCCATGATTAAAATTTGTCAGATTGTGATTACTCTGCAACACAATCTTTATAGGGATTGCTTGTCTGTTATTAACCTATTTACAATAAAATGCATTGAAGTTATGGGATTGCTAGTTTGTGTTGTAATGAATGACATAATAACTGTTTCTGATTTGCTTCTCACAGAAAGCTAAAGCTCCGCCTTCAATTGATGATTGGTGTCAAAAGGAGTGACATATTTTTTTTGAAATTTTGCTATACACTCAAAGCTTCACCAGCCCCTTTGTTTTTCCAATTAAAATTTGTTCTTTTTTATGATCTCTATAATATTAAGACCATTACTTCTGCCAGGGGACATTTTTGTTGATAACTGAGCAATAAATTAGACACGATGCTGAAAAGAAATTTTAATCAACATCGGACTGTATATTTGGCGGTTTATTCTCTAGTCTTAATTAATATAAACCCTGTTGAGAACACTTCAGCAATTTCTTGTTCATTCTCGAAGTTTTCACAAAGATTTCAGAACATAATATGTATAAAACTATGTTGGTAAACTTTTCCCGAGATTTGGTGCCGACTGATGCAAGGGACCAATTGAATGGTGAGGGAAAAGTTTCATGTTTCACATGAGAAATTAAAACTCATGTGTTTCAATTTATTTTTCTTTTGTTTCAATTTATTTTATCACAACTCTAGTGTGTCTCTTATTATTTTTATCAAGATAATGATAATTTAATCCTGTCTGGTGCAATTTTGTACAGGCCTACAGTGAATGAAATATGATAATTCAGGGCTCTCGATTCCCTATAATTGGGGCCATTTAAAGGCCCCATTCCCAATTCAAAAAAGGTACCTTTTATCCCAATTAAATGTTTTAATTTTCACAATTGGTCACTTCCCCAAATATATATATAAAAGAATATTTAGTAAAATATGTAGTTCCTAAACTTGTTATTCATATTTCTCTGTATTACAAAACAGAAATTTAGTTGATAACAACCACCAGAAACTCAATATATAATGAATTTAATGGATATTGTCTACCGTAGTTATGATTTTCCCAAATTTCCTCAAAAGGTCGCTAATTTTCCCAATTTTTACGGCCCCGGCCCCAGTCCCAAAAACTGGTGTGAGAGCCCTGTAATTATACCTTCATATCATATTTACCTGTCTGCAACAACTTGGGTGATGGTCCACAGAGAGTAGTTTTCAAAAACATAATTAAGTTCATTTCTGCATATTCAAATGTCTTTCTATGAAAGCAGTTGTGTCTTTTCTAATTGATTAAAATCAGAAACTTAAAGGTCTTTGGACACTAGTGATGATTTGTTTTTGGATGTAGATTAATTAAGAGTTGTAAGGCAGTTTCCTGATTATGCCCCGCCATGAATATGGCCGGGGCATATAGTGTTTGTCATGTCCTTTGTCCGTCCTTCCATCCTTCCATGTGTCTTTCCGTCGCGCTTTGCGTCCAGCTCTATTCAGAGCTCAATATTCAAAGAAACTATCCAAGATATTTTTATCAAACTTCATATGCTGATAGATATTGATGAGAGCTATGCAACTCAAATGATTACCCCTGGGTATAGGGTGGGGCCACAATGGGGGATCAAAAATTTTATATAAGAACATATAGAAAAAAAAAATCTTCTCAAGAACAAAAAGGCTATGTTTAGTCATATTGATCTGGAAGCATCCCCTGGTAGTGAAGATTCAAGTTTGTTCAAATGATGACCCCTGGAATAGGGAGGAGCCACAATGGGGGATCAAATTTTTACAAAGGAATATATGGTTACCGTAAATTTTTTTTTAGAAACCTCATGTACAACAAAGCCATTTGTTATATTGACATGGAAGCATCATGATGTAGTTTAAAATTCAAGCCCACCCTAATCTTTTCAATACTGAACTGATTTGTGCTTTTGCCCAGCCAATGTGCTCAGGTGAGTGATGTGGCCCATGGGCCTCTTGTTTTAATTACTAGGGTGGAATGTCATTATGGCTGATTTAGTATCAGTGACACATTGTAAAATGCTAAATAGTCAATCAATTAAACCCTAGCAGTGTCTTAAAATTCTGTTTAAATTTGGCCAAAGTAGATTAATAAGTCAGAGAAGATGAAAAAAGAGGGGTTCTCTTTTTACTCTTTTTTTTACAGCTTGATGCTGTGTCTGTGATTATGACCTATCATTGATTTTGATATGATAAATTTTCAATAATTATGCACACAATGATATAGTCACCCAACCATGAAGCTTGGGTTTGGAGTGTACCAGCAGTGTTTACCATCGGTCTGTAAAAAACAGGAAGCATAATTTTTAAAAAAAAAAAAAAACACACTTATATTTACAGAACTAGAGAGAAGGAAGTTCTGGTGCCATCAAGCTGTAATGGGACGGAATGTCCTCCTAAAGCAGAACTATTTGAATCTGAAGAATGTGAAATCTCAAAGACAATTGATTGCCAGCTCTCAGACTGGACGAAATGGTCAGCCTGTAGTGAGAATTGTGGCTCGGGGTCCTCAATACGATCCAGGCGTCTACTGACTCCAGCCTACTGTGGGGGTTCACACTGCCGTAACCAGACCTTGGAGGAGTCCAGGGAATGTGAATCGTACACAGCCTCTAGAGATTGTATTGTAAGGAAAATTATTTTGTTATATGTTTTGCTCTAAAGGAAATGAAACTAATTGAAGAAAACAAAAGAAAAAAGAAATGTTTGTGTCTCTTTCTCAAGGGTAGAAACTTATTATGGACAAGAATTTATCAAGAAATTACTGCCTGAAGGTGATATGCTGTAGTTTTTTGGGAAGAAAGTTTTTAAGACCAGAAATTCTTTATGTTGAAACACAGAGTACAAACATATAAAGCTAATTGTAATGCACCATATGTTAGCCTAAAGCGTTAACTTCTGGTACAGACAACCATGGCTACTAATTGATATTTGAATGTTTGTGGGTTATCTTCTCCTTAATTGGTTAGTTGATGTTGAGCAGCTTGGCAAAATACAAAAATTATCCCGAGTAGCTGCCAGCCATATTGTCTGGTTAATGAGATGTTTGTTTGGCAGTGGTTTGTATTCCAAAGCCTTACTTTGCTCCAAATGATTACCAAGATAAATGATGTCCCTTGGCAAGGTTCTGTTGGAATATTTATAGCTGATGAAGTGAAAAACACTTGTTTTGTTCATGTCATATTAGAACTTTGGTATAACTTTTTGTGTCTGTGTTTAGATATTAATTAGAATTATAATTTTTTATGGAATTTGAGATAAAGTATTGTGATAGCTCTATGATGTTTGAAAAAAAAAAAAGGATCTGGGAATAGTACCTAATAGACTATATTGTGTAACGATGTTCCATCTCTATGTCCTTTCTATGTCTATATACATCTATAATTCTTATCATGTATCTTTGATATGATTTTGTTATAATTCCTCAGTAGTCTTTCATACTTATGAAATTATTTGTTTCAAAGGGACACATATATATAGAGCTCCACTGATTAAAACAGTTTTATTTTGTTTATGGTTTAGTATGTGGCCAAATTTTAGGTGATTATATAGATTTCACAGGTAGATTTCAGTAGGATAGGAATGGTTAGTAATGAGAAGACAGCATTTCAAACATTATTTTGATGACACGTTTTCTATAGATGACTGGCTTAGAAGCTCACAATTTCATGCGAGTCTGTGATGTATGATAATAGCAATTTTCTTTGTAAATAATATCCCTTTCTAGAATTTACAGTTGATGTTAGTAATTTGTTATTGCGAAAAAAAAGCCATTCCGTAGCTAGATGAATGAGTCTCTGGTTTAATCCTCTCTTTCCACTCCTAAATAAGTGGGTCATATTACTTTTGTCAATGGTGCTGACATTTCAGAAAATTATCTTAGTGAGTCAGTATGTTTCTTGAGACGTCTAATCCTAGCAGAATCTCAGAAGAATTTGATCTTTTTTTGTCTGCATTACACATTATGCTTCAGAAGTTGTCACCGACATACATGTATTTACGAGTCTAGGTCAACGAAAAGCTTTGGACTTGATTGCTCTCTTTTACAAGGTTATTTGCAAACAGATTATTTGACATTAATTTTAATTGAAAAAGCTTGCTGTGCTGAAGCTTAAAATTTATTGATATTTGTTAATCTAATTGTTTTTTTTTTCTTTTCTTCATACATGTAATTGTTTCATGAAGATTTTGCCCAAACAGAATATTATAACGTAAATATAGCTATATTATAAGTAACATGTAATTTGTCCCATTTAATGCACTAATGAAAAAAACCCTCAGATATTGATGAATGTGTTGCTTTAAAATGTATCATATTTGTCAGATAAATGGAAGGTGATTTTTTTTTGAATTGTTTCATTTTGCTGGCTCAAATGATCAGATGTGTTATTTTGAGCAGTGCGTGACTGCAGATCAGTAGAATTAATTTTTTTTTTTAAATCGAAAATTGAAACATGAAGGAATACATTTTAAAAATTGAAATGAGGTTGATTAACTAAAAAATGGAAAATTCATAAATAAATATCTCCTGGAAAATGTCATACTGTATTTTAAGTAAATTAAATCACTTAATGCCTAAAAGGTCACCATTGAACTCTTGAATTGATATGATTTATTTCTATTTGAAAGTTAGATTTGTTTCCTATTTGTCTGTGAATATTCAATGCTTTTTAGTATACTTTATGTCTTGGTAACTATAAAGTACAATTAAATGGATTTTGCAGGATCATCAAGGGATGCTTCTTGCTTATAACCATGCCTTTGAATCAGCTGTAGTCAGATTTTGAGTTTAAAGTGGAAAACTGATATGAAAAATTGGATATTACAGTTTACAAATTTATTGCACTAATCTGCACAGAGAAAAAATTCATTTAAATGTACTTTAGATGATGGAGAGGTTAGAATGGACAGAATGTGAGATTATTGTGCTTATTTGGTCTGAGTAAATAATGCATGCAATTTTATGTATTGTAGATGACGGAGTGGGGAGAATGGACAGAATGTGAGAGGAATTGTAATGGGGGAAAACAGACTCGATCCAGGGAGATTTTACAAGCCCAGCAGTGCAAAGGAGCAATATGTCCTCATACAGAGGTGACTCTATTAGTACCTTGTATAACAAGATACAGTGAGGGAAAAAAAAACACTGCTAGCAATGATTATTGTAGTCGATCACTTACCTGGAGCTATAAAACATTTTCAGTAGGAGAAACATGAAACAATTTTTATCTCACCTCAACAAAGACAAAGTGGGGGGGGGGGGGGGGGGGGGAGCTTATGTGATACCCTTGGTGTTGGCGTCCCAGGTTAAAGTTTTTGTCCAGTTTTCTTTTTACATACTTCTATGCCCTACATTAATCAGGGATGCATGGAAGATGCTTCTAGTGTGTTTCTTTGTACCAGTCAAGGTTTCAGATGCTGCAATTTCAGCAAAGGAAGGACCAGGTTAAAGTTTTTGGAGCAGGTTTAAGTCTGGTGTAGGTCTCATTTCCAAGTTATTTTAAGCTCTATGTTTACCAAAATTGCATGGATGATACATCCAAGGATGCACACTACCAGGCTTGCTTCGGATGCTGGATCTGACCTACATTTTCCAGATGAGTGAACAGGTTAAAGTTTTTGTTGAAGGTCTTATTTCCAAGTAACTATAAGCCCTATGTTTACCAGACTTGTATGGATGATACATCTAAGGATGAACACTACCAGGCTTGCTTCGGATGCTGGATCTGACCTATATTTCCAGATGAGTAAGCAGGTTAATGTTTCTGGTGCAGGTCGCATTTCCAAGTAAGTATAAGCCCTATGTTTACCAAACTTGCATGGATGATACATCTAAGAATGCACACTACCAGGCTTGCTGCGGATGCTGAATATGACCTATATTTTCTGGATGAGTGAACAAGTTTTTGGAGCAGGTTCATTCTAAAGTAATTACATATATAAGCCCTATGTTTACCAAACTTGCATGGATGATACATCTAAGGATGCACACTAAGGATTTGCTTTGGATGCTTGATCTGACATACATTTTCCAGATAATGGACCAGGTTAAAGTTTTGGGTGCAGGTCTATTAACTAGAAACTGTAAGGTCTATCTGAACCAAATTTGCATGGATGATGCATCAAGGGATGAACACTCTCAAACTTGCTTAGATGCTGGATTTGAATTACATTTTCTGGATGGGTGACTAGTTTGAAGTTTATGGATAATCTATTCCCAAGAAACTGCAAGCCCTGTCAGATCAAAATTGCATAAATGTGCATTTTGGGATGTACACTTCTAAATTATTAGTTTAATGTGGGACTTTGCCTTACTTAAAGACAGCATTCATTGAGGTGACCTCGGAATCTCTGATTACCTATGTTTCTTTATTGAAGCTACCTCCTTTTACATGGCTAATTACAGCTCTAATGTAAATTTATAAAGGAAGATCAGTAAGTTTGTGGTGTTGCTGTGTTATGTATTATTCAGTGTATGGATACTCAATTTTTCATTGGCAGGTTTTGAGAACAAATTGTCACTCCATATGTGACCATCCTGAGATGTGTAACCAGGGGGTTTGTGGATGTCGGCTGGGGTACAGGATGTCAGATGATGGCTACAGTTGCCTCCCTGTGAAGTGTTTGTTTCCTTCCATTAAATATTGCCCTCCTTCCCGAACAGAGTTTTTCAGCTGTAGACATCCTAGCAGCATCACATGTAAAGGGGTAGGTAGTCAGAGGACACAGTTGTAGACACCCTAAAAGCATCACATGTAAAGAAGTAGGTAGTCAGAGGACACAGTTGTAGACACCCTAACAGCATCACATGTAAAGGGGTAGGTAGTCAGAGGACACAGTTGTAGACACCCTAACAGCATCACATGTAAAGGGGTAGGTAGTCAGAGGACACAGCTGTAGACATCCTTACAGCATCATATGTAAAGGGGTATGCAGTCAGAGGACACAGTTGTAGACATCTTTACAGCATCACATGTAAAGGAGTAGTTAGTCAGAGGACACAGTTGTAGACATCTTTACAGCATCACATGTAAATGGGTAGGTAGTCAGAGGACACAGTTATAGACATCATAGGGGCATCATGTGTGAAGGGCTATTTAGTCAGAGGACATAGTTGTAGATCTCTTAGGAGCATCATATGTAAAGGGATTTGCAGTCAGAATACTGTTTTTCAACTTAAAATTTCTTAACAGCATCATTTGAAAGGGGTATGTAGTCAGAGGATATTTTTTTTCAGCTTTACTCTAGCATCATCATGGATAAAGGGGTGTGAAGTTACAGGAATTGTTCATTATTAAAAATAGTAAACATGTAAATTGCTTTTTAATATACTAACAAATGATAAAGGGCTTTTACACTATTCCTCATCAAATAGAGTCACAAAGATATGAAATTTTAGTGGAAGTTATAAAATTTAGAAATCTTAAGAAAATAACTAATTTTTACCTCATATCATTATTTTTTAGAAACAATGGAAACATAAAGAGTACATGCTTTGTTTGGCAAAAATGTGATCCTATATACATGCATGTATATTGTTGCAATGAGCATTGGATAGTTTAATGTCTTATGCAATGTGACTACTTGGTTACATATAATAATTTTTTGGTTTACAGTATAACCACTTTTATACATGTATTGTTATCTGCTATGCATTATTAATGTAAGATCTTTGAATTTCTTTGTTACAGTATGATCTCTTTTCTACATGTATTGTTACCGGCATTACAATTAATGTAAGAATTTGTTTATTACAGTATGACTACTTAGACACCTGCACTGTCTCCTGCATCACAGACTGGTTCCTGAAAGGTTCCACTAACATCATAACCTGTCTTGCTAATGGAACCTGGAGCCACCCACAACTCTTTTGTGCCCCTCCCAACAATCCTCCACATTCTGTATGAACTTTTCTCTCTTTTATTCATTCCATAATTGGCTTACAATCATGTTTTGAAAGTGCAATGTATTTTAGAAAATTTTCTTTACTCATTGACATCAAGCAGGCAAACTATAATGAGCATGCAAAGCATTAAGAAACTAGTGAAATCCACGTAACATTGGTTGAGATCCCATGGTAGGGAGAAAGTTTATCATATTTCAGGGTTGTCCTTAAGAATTGAAATAGGAGGGGACATTAAAAAAAGTAGAAGGTCTGGGGTTCCTCCCTGGTTGAGGGGGGATACCAGAGTAGCCAGGGGATAATGTCATTATGATATTCCCCGGTCCTCGGGTCTTAGGAACAAACCTGTATTTTGATTGCATTATATTTTTAAAAATTTTCTTCAGTACTTCTAAACTTTCCAGTCAGCAAACTGTTCGCATTATTATAATAAAAATTGTAAAATTCATGTTCCTTTGGTTCAGAATGCAGGTCCCTGGGTGGACGAAGTTTGTCATGTATTTTTTTTGTTCTTGTGGACATCTAGCAGACAAACCATTTTCTTGATTACAATGAGTACGAAATCTTTTGTTAGAATTGTTAAATTTATGGCCCCTAATTCCATGGGTCAGACCCAAAGATGGGGATAAGTAAGTCATGTATTGAAATGATATCACATCTTTGAAAACATCTTTGAAAATCTTTTTCTTTTCTCCTGGATATACCATCAGACAAACTTTTGCATGATTTCTCATAAACAGCTAGGTCTTTTCCAAGATTTTTAGCTCTTCTGAACCAAAGGCTCAAAGAGCTAATGCCATGGCCATTTGTGCAACTTTTTGAAAAAGGGCCATATCTGAAGAACCCCTTGGTCAATTTTTTCAAATTTTTCATGGAGTATCCTTGGCCCAAGGGCTTTCATTTATACTAAAACTAGGGATCTGTCCCTTAAACAAGGGGGGATAAATAGGGAAATAAAAACAAAAGTAATGGTTGCTAAAAATCTTCTTGAGAACCACTGGGCAGATTAAACTTACATACAAGGATGAGGATATGTTGTAGATTAAAATTTGCACGGGGAATCGCCCTGGGGCAAAGGGCATGGTCTCAAGGTCACTTCAAAGTTGACCAAAATTTACATTTTGTTTAATCTTTTATGTTTTGCCCACTATAAGGCCTACGATCATCAAATCTTGTCAGTTGATGCATCTTCAGACTTCATATCATGTTGACTCAAAAGTAGTTCACAGTTACCTACTTTTTGAATTTTGCAGGCATTCATTTTCATTTTAATTTTGATGCATAACTTGGATAGTTTGAAGGATACTGTCTTCAAAACTTGTCAGTTTATGCAGCATGGGACCTTGAAGTGTGTCAACCAAAAAGTAGGTCACCATGACCTACTTTCTAAGTTTTATAGCTTATCATTTTGTAAACATTAAAGGTCATTATTTCAGATACTAAGAGAACCAGAATCATCAAACCTTGTAAGGTGATGCACCTAGGGGCTTTAAAAAAAGATTTATCAAAAAGTAGGTCACAGTGACCTACTTTTGGAATTTTACAGGTATTTATTTTCAAATTGTTATAGGGGCATATTTTGCACACTTTGAAGCATAGGATTATCAAACTTAGTCAGTTGATGCATCTCGAGTCCTCAAAGTGTGTCAACCAAAAAGTAGGTCACCTTGACCTACTTTTGCAATTTCATGGCTTAATTTAAATATTTCATATATTAATTGGCTTAGAATCATCAAACTTTGTCGGTTGATGAATCTTGAGTCCTCAGAGTGTATCGACCAAAAAGTAGGTCATCGTGACCTACTTTTGCAATTTCATGGCTTAATTTAAATATTTCAGACACTAATTGGCTTGGAATTATCAAACTTTGTCAGTTGATGCATCTTGGGTACCCGGATTGTGTCAACCAAAAAGTGTCATCATGACCTACTTTAGGAATTTGATAACTATTTCTGATACTTATTTACTAAGAATCATCAATCTTTGTCAGTTGATGCATCTTGAATCCTTGGAGTGCATCAACCAAAAAGTAGGTCACTGTGACCTACTTTTGCAACTTAATGGCTAAATTTAAGTATTTCAGATACTAATTGGCCTGGAGTTATCAAACTTTGTCAATTGTTGCCATGCTGACCTTCTTTTAGAATTTTAAGGCTTTATACTTATATATAGGTTACCAAGAGGCTTAAAACAGATGAGATTATAGGTTGTACAGTTTTCAGAAGAGCGATTCTAGGCCCTTGGGCCTCTTGTAAACTCATTTCTCCTTGGATTAGAATTCAGGCCAAAGGGTAGGGCTTATTGGTCATATATTGAAAATTTAATTTAGAGTATTCTGGGAAAGAATCTGGGGGGATAAGACAAGCCATGTGCCCATGCCCATTTTTCGGCTATGCAAGAACATTTATTGGAAAAAATCTCTCAATTGTTCGAATTTACTTAAGCATTTTAATGTTTACCGTAGTTTTCAAAATGATATTTATATTCTAAACAAGCTAAACAGTTGACTTTCATTTACTGTCACAAATGTCTAACATGGGTATGGACTTCTATTAATTAATCTGCATATTGAGTGTTTACACTAATTGTGGAGATATTATAAAAATGTTAACATTGTATATAATGATAATGGTGATCTAGAAGCGCTTTTATTTAAAATAAATAAAAACGGGAATAAATGTATTCAAATATCTATTATAATTTTTATCCGGCATTTTAAATAATTTACTGTAAATAAGTTTATTACTACATGTATATATTTTATTTCCAGTGAAAAATATGTTATTCCTATAGACATTTTTATATAAAGTAAAACAAAATTAAAACCAAAAAAAAAATCAAAAAATCAGAGCATGACTCGAACACTTTCCTTAATAAACGTCACTTTAAAGAGCTCCTCGCTAACCACTAGACCACATAGTCGCACTTACATGTCTATTTAAATAGCATACAGTTCTCTATATTTAGCAAGCGTTTTCGGACTTAGAATTTTTTAAGACCACGGTGAAAATTTAAGTAAGTTAACTTAATTTTTTATGTAGAGTGGGTCTTCATACCAAATTTTTGCAAGTGTAAAAAGCAACATCTTTCCATTGCCTTTCATTAATCGTTCTCAAAACAATGGTACGATGACCCACTCTATTTAAAAAATATAGTTATATCATCCAATTTATGTCAGTTTCTGTGAAAATTGAGCGTGATGCCATTTTGTTGTGTTAATCAGAATCATTTTCGCTGTTACAGTATTCAGGTTTTGTCAAATTTATATGCAAATGGTAATGAGCATTACATTAATTCAACAAAAAGTGAAATTTTTGTAAAATGAATTTATTGATTTTTTATCCATCGTTATGTAGGCATATGGCTCGGCTTATCCCCCCAGTTTCTTTAGTAAGCAGACTTTATAATGCATGGTAACAGTAAGCTAGTTGGCCTTTATCAGATGTGTATCAAATGTAACTCAGCATCCATGATAAAAGTTATTCCACCTGAAAATTGTTAATCTTTCACAACTTTCAGTTCAAGGCTAGACAAGTATTTTAGTATAATTTTTAGCTCACCTCGACGAAGTCGAGATGAGCTTATGCTATACCCCCGGCGTCGGCGTCGGCGTCGGTGTCGGCGTCGGCGTTAGCGTCGGCGTCCCAGGTTAAAGTTTTAGGAGCAAGTCCCATTCCCAAGTAACTATAAGCCCTACCTGGACCAAACTTGCATGGATGATGCATCTAGGGATGGACACTACCAAACTTGCTTCGGATGCTGGATCTGACCTAGATTTTCCAGATGAGTGACTAGGTTAAAGTTTTAGGAGCAGGTCCATTCCTAAGTAACTATAAGCCCTACCTGGATCAAACTTGCATTGATGATGCATCTAGGGATGGACACTACCACACTTGCTTCGGATGCTGGATCTGACCTAGATTTTCCGGATGAGTGACCAGGTGAAAGTTTTAGGAGCAGGTCCATTCCCAAGTAACTATAAGCCCTACCTTGACCAAACTTGCATGGATGATCCATCTAGGGATGGACACTACTAAACTTGCTTCAAATGCTGGATCTGACCTAGATTTTTCAGATGAGTGACCAGGTTAAAGTTTTAGGAGCAGGTCCATTCCCAAGTAACTATAAGCCCTACCTTGACCAAACTTGCATGGATGATGCATCTAGGGATGGACACTACCAAACTTGCTTCGGATGCTGGATCTGACCTAGATTTTCCAGATGAGTGACCAGGTTAAAGTTTTAGGAGCAGGTCCATTCCAAAGTAACTATAAGCCCTACCTTGACCAAACTTGCATGGATGATGCATCTAGGGATGGACATGGCCACACTTACTTCGGATGCTGGATCTGACCTAGATTTTCCGGATGAGTGACCAGGTGAAAGTTTTAGGAGCAGGTCCATTCCCAAGTAACTATAAGCCCTACCTTGACCAAACTTGCATGGATGATGCATCTAGGGATGGACACTACTAAACTTGCTTCGAATGCTGGATCTGACCTAGATTTTTCAGATGAGTGACCAGGTTAAAGTTTTAGGAGCAGGTCCATTCCCAAGTAACTATAAGCCCTACCTTGACCAAACTTGCATGGATGATGCATCTAGGGATGGACACTACCAAACTTGCTTCGGATGCTGGATCTGACCTAGATTTTCCAGATGAGTGACCAGGTTAAAGTTTTAGGAGCAGGTCCATTCCAAAGTAACTATAAGCCCTACCTTGACCAAACTTGCATGGATGATGCATCTAGGGATGGACATGGCCACACTTACTTCGGATGCTGGATCTGACCTAGATTTTCCGGATGAGTGACCAGGTGAAAGTTTTAGGAGCAGGTCCATTCCCAAGTATCTATAAGCCCTACCTTGACCAAACTTGCATGGATGATGCATCTAGGGATGGACACTACCAAACTTGCTTCGGATGCTGGATCTGACCTAGATTTTCCAGATGAGTGACCAGGTTAAAGTTTTAGGGGCAGGTCCATTCCCAAGTAACTATAAGTCCTACCTTGACCAAACTTGCATGGATGATGCATCTAGGGATGGACATGGCCACACTTACTTCGGATGCTGGATCTGACCTAGATTTTCCAGATGAGTGACCAGGTTTAAGTTTTAGAGCAGGTCCATTCCCAAGTAACTATAAGCCCTACCTGGACCAAACTTGCATGGATGATGCATCTAGGGATGGTCACTACCAAACTTACTTCGGATGCTGGATCTGACCTAGATTTTCCAGATGAGTGACCAGGTTAAAGTTTTAGGAGCAGGTCCATTCCCAAGTTACTATAAACCCTACCCGGACCAAACTTTCATGGATGATGCATCCAGGGATGAACACTACCACACTTGCTTCAGATGCTGGATCTGACCTAGATTTTCCACATGTGAGACCAGGTTTAGATTTAGGAGTAGTCTCATTCCCAAGTAACTATAAGCCCTACCTGGTCCAAACTTTCATGGATGATGCATCTAGGGATGTACACTAACCAACCTGCTTCGAATGCTGGATCTGACCTAGATTTTCCACATGAGTGAATTTTAGCCATATTTTAACCAAATTAGCATGGATGATGTATCTAGGGATGGACACTTCCAGACTTGCCTTGGATTCTGAATCTGATGTACATTTTCCAGATGAGTGACCAGGGTAATTTTTTTGGAGTAGCTATATAATATTATGGCTTGTTATGATTAAACTTGCATAGATGGTGCATCTAAGGATGAAAACTTCCAGACTTGCTTTGGATGTTGGAACTGACCAAAATTTTCTTGATTACTAAACAGGTCAAAAGTTTTTTAAGCAGGTCTATATTTAAATCAAACTTGCATGGATATTGATCTTGGGATGTACCCTAACTAGAAAAAAAATATGATGTGAAATTTGCCTTACATGTAGATAACATTCGTCGAGGTGAGCTTCGTAATCTTTGATTACCTATGTTTGGCTACATCTAGATGAGGAGTTCTGGCTCCTGGAGACCCATTGTTTTATTTGACTGTTCTTGTTTTGAAGATGAAGGTGGACAATACAAATATTAAGGAAAATGTGAAAGATCTTTGTGTGTACCTCAGCACGGTCGATGATTCCTATGATGCCCAGTTTTACTCCATCCTTGCTGATCCCAAAAATATCTTCCAAGTTTCTGGCTCTAAGCTTTGTCTCAATAGAAAGGCAGACTATGAGGAAAAGCCAACCAAGTATGTTTTATTTATCACATGTATCTATTAAAAATGTAAACATTGTGATGTGCGTACATTTCACTTATGTGGAACACACTACATTGGTGTATGTTAAATTTAAGATGTGACCAACCGAAGTGCACACTAATTGTAAAAGTTGACTTTCACGTGATTTAAAAGGTAAAAACAAAGCTTATTATTTATTTCATGTAAAATGATAAGAAAATGTAAACGTAAACTTAATTTTGATGTCCATTTTTTATATACAAGATGGAATGTGACAGTGAGATGTACAGACATAGAGGGGGCATATGTGGACAACACATTCCAATTCCAAATTCTTAATGAAAATGATCCACCAAAGTCTGCAATGGTAAATTAATTTTTTCTGGCCCCAAGTTCAAAAGGAAAGGGAATTTGGTTTTGGTTTGTTTGCAACTTTAACTTTGCTCATAACTTTTGATGAAACAACTTTATATTGTCAAATAGTAGCTTATGGTCAGGAGGGTTATCATGACCTTTAACCAAGGTCATTTAAGTGATGTCAAAATCATGGGGATTGAAGATGCAAAATTTTTGTCTTGGCTACCTCATTTTTGACAAGAAAATTTGAGTAAGAATGAAATTTTATTTGAATTTTCTTTAGCTGATGCCAAATATGATACCAGAGAACAGTATGGCTGACACACACGTTGGATGTTTTAGTGCACAGGATGATGATCCAAGTCAAAATGTTACTCTGCTGCTTGTAGACTCGGAGCACAGAATGTTCACCTCTTACTCTAATGGATCACAGCTATGTCTCAAGGTTTTGCTAACAAAGTTATGATCTAGTTCACATTTTCTTTCTGGAGTGTACATCCTTTGAGATCTGTAGATGCCTTTTAAAGTTGGCATTAAAATATTTTTACGAGAAAGCTGTGATTAGTTGTAGATTACATTTTAAGAATACTGCAATAATTAATGGATAATAGACAGTAATCTAAGAATTAAATGAATTAAGATTGCATGAGGCTAACAGTTCATGTAATGTATGTGATCTTTCAGCATTAATTGCCTTGATTATCATTTTCTGGGTATTTTTCTGCTGGTGTAAAAACATTTGTATGAATTGATTGTAGGTATTAAAGCAGTCAGATCCCTTATGTCTATCAGAAGGGGGTAAATACTGTGTGTTGAACAGAGAAGAACAGAAAGTTCACTTTGTCACACTGATGGTACAGGATGACTACAGTCCCCCAGGCATTTCTTATTTTAACCTCCCTGTGACCTTGAAGGATGTCAATGACAAACCTGTGTTGGTGACCCTTGACCCGAATGTCATACCCGAAGAAGTTGAGCCTGGTTAGTTTGGAATGATATTTTAGATATTAAAATTGATAAAATTGTTTGCTTTAATTTTGATGAAACAACTCTAATTTACATGAAAGTACAGTTATAATCATAGATGTCAAATGTATCTCATGGCTGAGCATTAACTTATTGAAGTATAATCATTAATATGGTGAATACTGTCAGTAAGAACATGCAGTAAAAGGAAATATATTGCATATCCATGATTCTAAGATTATTAAAAAATGCACCCATTCCTTTGACTGTCTTTGGAATTATTTTTAAGACTAGCCTTTGAATATTGTAAGATATCTGACCTATTATTCAATTTCTGTAGGATTTCCAGTTTGGAATTTATTCTTTCAAGGCAATGTCTTTATCCTTTTATCATTCCTATTCTGAAGATTGACAAACTAAGTTTAAAATTTGAAGATTATTATGTACGTAAAGTCATGAGGATTAGTTTTACTCACAAGCTCTTTTCTCCACCACATATCAATATTTCCTGGAGATTTTCACTTTTATTTCTTGTAGGAGAGCCATTAACAGCTCTGAGAACCATTGATGAGGATGAACACCAGGTTTTCCAGTATGAACTAATGGAAGATGACACAGGACTGTTTTCTATTATCAATGGGAGTCTGGTCTCATCAGTGAAATTCAATTTTGAAGAAAGTGACAGTAAAGAATTTCATATCAAAGTTATATCTAGGGATAATGGCTCCCCAAGTTATAGTGTAAGTGCAGAAATGTTATATTCATCAATAACTGCTTGATTAAGTTACTGAAAATAGCTTACACTGTTAACAGAGATTAACAGACATATTAGTTTTATGTTCATATATCAGTGTTTCAGAACATTGATTAAATCAAACAGGCACTAGAGAGGGGAAGCTATCTCTCCGGCGGCAATAATTTGGAGAGGTGACATGATACAACGCAGCAAAACTTATCTCCAATAAAGAATAATTTATGGAAATAAAATCTGGACTAAATCATGGGAGAAATTTATCATTAAACTCATGTTTTAAAAAAACATTTAAGACCATTACTCTGAATTTATTTCTTGCAGGAACTTGTCACACACTAACATTAAATGATTCTTAAGAATAAAATCTGGAATAAGTCACTAGAGGATATTTTTTTTACTGAACTTGCTTCCTCAGTTCCAAGATGTAGGAACTTGTTCTAAACTAAAATTTGATCATCTAAGTCTTTAGTATATTTAAAGTTACCATTTGAGACAAATACAGTTGAACTTCAGTATCTCGAACACTGATATCTTGAATACTATGGATATGTCGAAGTGATTGGGAAGTTCCAAACACTTATTCTTTTAAAAGTATTTTACCGTATATACTCGCCTATAAGTCGATCCGCCTATAAGTCAGTTGTAATTTTAAAGCTTAAATTGAAGGGATTGACCCACTAAAATACCAGTCTTTTTATAACTCGCGTATAAGTCGGATCATGAGTTTTGGATCAAAGTTTAACTCCCCAAAAACTGACTTATAGGCGAGTATATACGGTACCTTCGATAATTTCTTTTAAGTTTTTTCTCGGTCCCCTCGAGTTTGGAATAACAAAGTTTAACTGTTAATCAGTTTTTAGCTCTAATGATCAATACGCATTGATAAGGTGTCCATGGTCAGTTTGTCTGTCTACCCATCTATAAACAATTTTTTCAAAATGCTACTTCTGCAGTATCTGATTTTAATTATATTTTATACACAGTTAGACTATACAAATATACATAATTCTTCATATCAGGTTTTGATTTTGACGAATGGTGTTGCCATGGTTACTAAGATAGAAATTTCTTATTTCTAAAATTCTTTCAAAATGCTAGTTCTCATACAGTTTTAGTCTGATTCAATAAAACCTGATACACAAGGAGACTATACTTATATAATAATTTTATATATGTGTTTCTGATTCCTATGAAGGATCTTTGCCATGGTTACTAAAAATAGAATTTTTTGGTGAAATTCTTTCAAAATGAAAGCTTGTGCATTTGTACAGCGAACTCATGCCAATATTCAGCAATATAAGTTCAATAACACCTTTTTATCTCACCTTGACGAAGTCGAGATGAGCTTATGCTATACCCCCGGCGTTGGCGTTGGCGTCCCGGTTAAAGTTTTGGGAGCAAGTCTATTCCCAAGTAACTATAAGTCCTTCCTGGACCAAACTTGCATGGATGATGCATCTAGGGATGGACACTACCAGACTTGCTTCGGATGCTGGATCTGACCTACATTTTCCAGATGAGTGATCAGGTTAAAGTTTTTGGAGCAGGTCCATTCCCAAGTAACTATAAGCCCTACCTAGATCAAACTTGCATGGATGATGCATCTAGGGATGGACACTACCAGACTTGCTTCGGATGCTGGATCTGACCTACATTTTCCAGAAGATTGACCAGGTTAAAGTTTTTGGAGCAGGTCCATTCCCAAGTAACTATAAGCCCTACCTGGACCAAACTTACATGGATGATGCATTTAGGGATGGACACTACCAGACTTGCTTCGGATGCTGGATCTGACCTACATTTTCCAGATGAGTGACCAGGTTAAAGTTTTTGGAGCAGGTCCATTCCCAAGTAACTATAAGCCTTCCCTGAACCAAGCTTGCATGGATGATGCATCTAGGGATAGACACTACCAGACTTGCTTCGGATGCTGAATCTGACTTACATTTTCCAGATGAGTGACCAGGTTAAAGTTTTTGGAGCAGGTCCATTCCAAAGTAACTATAAGCCCTACCTAGATCAAACTTGCATGGATGATGCATCTAGGGATGGACACTACCAGACTTGCTTCGGTTGCTGGATCTGACCTACATTTTCCAGATGAGTGACCAGGTTAAAGTTTTTGGAGCAGGTCCATTCCCAAGTAACTATAAGCCCTACCTGGACCAAACTTACATGGATGATGCATTTAGGGATGGACACTACCAGACTTGCTTCGGATGCTGGATCTGACCTACATTTTCCAGAAGATTGACCAGGTTAAAGTTTTTGGAGCAGGTCCATTCCCAAGTAACTATAAGCCTTCCCTGAACCAAGCTTGCATGGATGATGCATCTAGGGATAGACACTACCAGACTTGCTTTGGATGCTGAATCTGACTTACATTTTCCAGATGAGTGACCAGGTTAAAGTTTTTGGAGCAGGTCCATTCCAAAGTAACTATAAGCCCTACCTGAACCAAGCTTGCATGGATGATGTATCTAGGGATGGACACTACCAGACTTGCTTCGGATGCTGGATCTGACATATATTTTCCAAATGAGTAACCATGACAATGTGTTTGGAGTAGCTTTATAATTATTTATATGGCCTGTTATGATTTAACTTTCATAGATGGTGCATTCCAAACTTGCTTCGGATGTAGGAAATGAAAGACATTTTCTTGATTAGTGAACAGGTTAAAGTTTTTGGAACAGGTCAATATCCAATGAATCATAAGACCTACTTACACAGAACTTGCATAAATATTGTTTTCAGGATGCACACTAACTATAAAGAAAATATGATGTGAGATTTGCATTACTTTTACTGATAACATTCGTCGAGGTGAGCTTCGTAATCTTTGATTACCTATGTTTTATATAGCTAAAACATCTCCCAATGATTTATATTATTTATTTCAATTAAATAATTCAAATTGATAAGAATTTTCAATATTGGTGTTTAAATTAATGTCTGCCCTTTAAGTGTTCAGTATCGCATCATTTCAGTGACCCTACCAAGTGTTATGATTTGCTTATTGAGGTTTAATTGAGGCTAATACGTACAAACTGATTACTTAATAATTTCAATTTTGTGAGAAAATAAACACATCTTACCTAGCTGCCACTACCTATCATAAATTTGCCTTTGAGAGGTTAACCAGACAACATTTTTTGTTTACAACTGGGCATTCGATATTAAATGCTCGTATTTGGAATGTTTCGGGCATACTCATACGTAAGGCAAACTCTGCATTCAATATAACGCCGAGATATTGAATGCTAAAATTCTCTAGATTTTTAGTAGTTTTTCATTATAGACTATTTATAAGCTATGTAATAAAGTAATTTTAATTATGTGTTTCTGATTCCTATGAAGGGTGTTGCCATGGTTACTAAAAAAGAATTTTTTGGTGAAATTCTTTCAAAATGCTACTCCTCCAAAAATCTGATCTTATTTTTATAAAACTTGGCACACAAGAAGACATAAGGTACATAATTTGGTATATTGATTTCTGATAAAGACGAAGGATGTTGCCATGGTGACTAAAATTAGAAATTTACTTCAAATTCTTTCAAAATGCTACTCCAACTACAGTTTTGGTCTCATTTCATAAAGACTTGGTAAATAAATAGACTTTACTAAGATGCATAATTTTATTTATCTGTCTCTGATTTCAACAATAGTGTTGCCATGGTTACTTATAAATAGATATTTCTTTGAAATTCTATCAAAATGCTACTTTTTCTTACAGTTTTTGGTAGCTTTCAATAAGACTTAGTACACAAATAGACTATACATAAATTCATTAAATTGGTATCTGATTAAGATTAAGGATGTTGCTATGGTTGCTAAAACTAGAAATGTCTTTGAAATCCTTTCAAAACACTACTCTTCCTACAGTTTTTTTTCTGATTTCAATAAGACTTGATCTACAAGCAAACTATACAATTGGTGGCATCCCAAAAGTGAGTGAAAAAATTCTCAAAAGAGGGTAAAGCAAACATACAAATATAACACATTTTGGATTGTTAGCTCTACTGGTCAGAGACTAGTCATGTCTGTCTTTCTGTATGCCCATAACACTGCATTTAACTCAGTTTCCATAAAAAGTGTTCAAGGTATTTTAACCAAAATTCGTAACACTGATACATATTGATGAGAGCTGTTCAACTGTGACATAATTTACTGACCTTGACTTTCGCTGTTACCTGGGCCTCACTTTTCCTTATTTTAGTTTCAAATTAACTGTAGGGGATATTTTTATCAAAACTCATACAGTCACTTATATGTATTGGTGGGAACTTTAAGAGTATGTCACAATTTTGGGGATTTTGACCTTTTATATGACCTTGACCTTACTATTCCTCATTTTGCATTTATCTTAGTTTCAAAGAAATTGTTAAATATATTTTCATTGAACTTCAATCAAATATGTAAATTCACAAGAGCTATTTGACTTTGTCAACTTTTTTTTTACCTAGACCTTCTCTGTGTTCCTTTATCTTGCTATGAATTATTTTACCATTAGCACAGTTTAGAAGAAACTTTTTATAGCATTTTCATCAAACTTCATACACCAATAGGAATTTGTAAGAGCTATTCAACTGCATCATTTTAATTAAACTTCATACAAAGTTACATGTTTTCTAGAGTAATTAAACTCATAATTTTTACCAACTTTGTGATTTTGACCTTCCCATGACTTTAAACTTCAATTTTTAAGTTTTTTTAATCAAATATCATACAACTTATTGGTTAGAACAAGTCAACAATGTCATTATATTCATACTTTGACATTTCCAATGACCTTTCTATCCCTTCATTTTGCAGTTAAATGAGTTTCCAAAAAATAATGTTTGTCATTGACTGCAGATATTTACCAAACTTTGTGTGCATGCTGATAATAATCTGGTGAGAGCAAAGTGTCAAAAATTCTTTGACCTTCACCTTCCCTATTTCCTCTCCCCTCATTTTGCTCATAGTTAAATATCTTATTTAATT